GTAGGGTGATTTTGTCGAGGGAACTGGATGCCTGCTACCTTGGACGCATCTCGTGACAGTTCTTAACACTGTTTACTGCAGGTAAGCGTAGTCCGATATTTTATTTTGATTTTCTTGTTCCCATTTGTGCACTTGAAATGGAGCTCTTGATCTTGATGTTTATTTTGTGTGTGTGCTGTTTTGTTCATTTCCGAGAAAAAATTGAGGTCATACTTCGAGTAAATAAATTAGAGTAAAACACAAAAGACGCTTGAGTGTGCCTTTTTTGGTTTTATTTTTTGTGTTTTCGTCCTTGTGTGCGGTTCTTCTCATGGTCTAAAGGAAACATACATTCAATTTTAATCTGGCAAATTACTTCGGCAAAAAAAAAAATTACATATTTGCCGAAGTTAGACATTCGGCAGTTAGAAATTATTTGTGCGCTTCGCAAACATTAATAGTAGTATATTACAGAATAATGTCATTAAGTTATTGCCGGCAGAGAGACTAGCCAGTACACCGTAAGAAATACCTGCGCGTCTACTCACCCGCAAAACACTCGAAGAGCCAATCTCTGCGATCTACAAAATCAGCTCAGCGAATGATGAGGCGGAACATCCGTTTAGACCTAAAACGAAGTCTGCGCTGTGGCATTACGCAATGCAAAGCGCCTAGCTTGCACTGCGTAATGCCACAGCGAAGGCTTAATTGTGAGGTCTAAAGAGATGTTCCCCTTCATCATTTGCTGAACTGATTTCAGAGATTGCAGAGATTGGCTCTTGGAGTGTTTTGCTGGTAAGTAGACGTGCAGGCATTTTTTAGAGTGTATATTGTCTTGGCTTTTTTTCCCCTTGTGATCAGGCATTTTTAAAAGTCTGATCATTCAGTAGGCGAGTCAGATGGTTCAAGTTGGCATTATTTGAAGTTGATTGAATATATTTTTTTTCTCCTGCGTCAACGTTGTAGGGTGAATTCGTCGAGGGCACTGGATGCCTGCTACCTTGGACGCAACTGCAGGTAAGCGTAATTAGATATATTATTCTAATGTTCTTGTTCGCATTTGGGAACTTGAAATGAGGTTCTTTATTTTTATATTTTCTTTGTGTGTGTGGTGTTCATTCATTTTCCAGAGAAAATTGAGGGTATACTTCGAGTAAATAAATTAGAGTAAGACACACAAGGCGCTTGAGTGTGTCTTTTTTGGTGTGTTCTTTTTCTGTGTTTTTGTCCTTGTGTGCTGTTCTTCTCATGTCTAAATAAAACGTACATTTAATTTTAATCTGGCAGAGTACTTTGGTAAAAATATTTGCATATTTGTCGAAGTTCGGCAGTTAGCGTTGGCGGTCATGGGAGTCTGCTGTGGTGCTGAGTAGCTAATGTGGTTTGGCGCTCTGTGCTGTATGTTCTTCCTCTGTCCTTGTCTTAAAGCGCAATCATGTTTTTTCACGTACAATACACACTCGCCCAACAATCAGCACTTGGATATACTAACTTCCAACAGTAGTTGTACCCCTTTGACTAAGATTTGTTAGTCACCTAAGTAAATCGGGGGGACAAATTTAAACATGACCGGTGAATACAAAGTGCTTACTAATCTACGATTACCACCCGCCATGTGATAATTTTAGTCAGTGGTGGTTAGTCAACGGTTAAACTGGTCACGTCTGGTAAGTATGGTTGATGCTTTATAATGCTGGAATCAGTGGCCCATCAAATGCTCCAAATGCTTCTTAAAGAAATCTAATATTTTTTCACAGCTTTTTGTTTTTAAATTGGGGATGATAGGTTTCAACTTCATACCCCATGATTTCCACATTTTTCTTGGTTCCAGGCAGGCAGTGCCATCTACCCGGTGGCTGTCAGCTCAAGCCTAATTAATCCTTATGCGTCCAGCTATGTGGCAGCGGAGGGAGACCTCGAAGCCGCGCCACCTGCTGGGGCAGTCCTGGTGGCATTCTGCCTCTACTTCATCTTTAACTATGAGTACCATTACCAGTTCAGTCGCAGATTCATTGAACTAGAGTACTTAGTTGATCTGAAACACTCAATGGTGGAGACACGTGCAACACATTGCTTTCAAACCTAAAAGAAATGCCAAAAGTTACTTTCTTTTTTTAATGCCTTTCTATGCAGGTTTAGGAAGTTTTTTCGTGTCGTTTGTCTAATGCTTTTTTTTTGTCTGACATAAGGCAGGATGGTTGATTCTGAGAGTTACAGAAGGTCAATGATATTGCTTTATAGTCACATTTTTGTAATTTGCAAAATCACAGCTTTTTGCTTTGCGCAGCAATGGCATACTTAATTTATATCAGTCTACTTCGTAGTTGGTGCCTGAAAGCATACGAGGGTTGTGGTTCCATGTTCACAGTAGTTTGTGCTTGCAAGGTTTAATTACAAGATGTTTTTTGATGGCTTGCAGGATTTTAATACAAGATGGTCAGAACCGATTTTTGCGATTTATTTGAAGTGGGTTAGATCCCGTTGGTCCTCGCGATAGTTCGTTGCAGCTCATAAGCAGCAGGAGGTACGAGTCCTTTCTTCTTTACACATTATAAGAGCAAATCCCGGAATCTGCTTTCCTCTACTCCAGCGTTCATTCCACTACTGTGGATAGGACGAGCATAGTGTACTGCTGTCCTTTAGTTGCAACACACTAGTCATTGCTAGTCGCGTCTTGACTTGTATTACTGTTTGCAATGTGTGATACAGGATGTATGTTATATCACAGTGCGTTCATTTTGATTCTGGTTTGTACAAGACTCGGTCATTTGAGTTCACCCCGGTGATCCTTCGCTATTCCAAGCCGTGTTCCAAGCATTCACTGTTATTTTCCGGGTAGACACTGATTGTTTATATACCTTTTGTGATAATTTTATTTACTGTCGCGAACTAGAGCCCCGAACGTGTTGTTCCAGATGCCTTTATTGCGCTTAATGGTTTCATCTTAGAACTTTTATAAGATGTCTAGTCATGCCATTGATTTTTATGCCATTTCGTTTGTGACAGCCACAATAAAACATTGTCATTTACTTTCAGAACTAGGCCGTCTTCATCTATTATAAGGCCTACCCTTTAAGCATGCACTCTGACACCCACAAAGGGCCGTAGCACCTTTCTTTAGGAAGTAAAAGTGATTCCATCACATTACATTAACCCTTAATAAGGTGGTGAACTGGGCCAGTTGGTTGCTGTTATACATGATGGGGAAAACAGCTCGGAAAGCCCTAACTACGAAGAACAAACACGACAGGACAGCACTGTCTTGTCGTGTTTGTTCTTCGTAGTCCGCGTTTTCTGAGCTGTTTTCCTCATTATGTACATTTAACCCCAAAGTGGATCATAGTTCCATCCAAAAGGAGGTAAAAGCGGCGCCCTCAATTATGTCGTCTTGCCTCTCAAAAGGGTTGAAGATCCCCTCTAAGGAGGTAAAGGCTAACCTTGACAGGATGCACTTTTAACACCAAAAGGAATTAAGGTTATCTCCAAAATGAGGTAACCTAACCCAGGGGGTAAGTTTGCACCCTCGTTGCCGGGGGAAACGTTACCTCAAAAAGGGGTTGCCCTGTGTGCAAGTCTGTTACCCCCATAAGGAGGGTACTAACTACCCTTTCTCTTTAAGAGTGATGGCGCTGAAATTGAAAAAAAAAACATAATAAAATGCCACGACACGGTTTAAAAAGAACAAATGACAAATGCAATTTTATTGACCTTGCAGGGTCCATTACAGAATGGAACTCAAAACCGGATATTCCTACCAATGTTTCGACGTGTGCAAAGAGAAAATCCGGTGAAGTGCTCCTCTATACTTTGTCTCATCCTACGATGGACTAAAGGCCAAAGCCACGGGCCGCCAGGTCCAATCACGTTCCACGCTATACTATGACACGCTTAACATTTATTAGGGGGGGACGAATAATGCTTGAATCCAAAAGCGCCGCATCATTTCTACTGCTTCGACGCTGCAAAGAGGCTATATATATCGTGGCTTTCTTTGCGATGTAAAATTGTTGAGTCACTCAGTGCTCTTCGATTCGAACCACGGTCCACCCGTCCCCTCATCAGTGATCTGAGACGCCGGCACCGATACGTGCATCGAAGCGAAATACCGCACAATTCCTAAGTGGCTCGTGGCTGGATCTGGCGGTCCGTAGCTTTTGCCTTTTGTCCATCGTAGGGTGAGACGAAGTAAATAACTCTAGATATGCACTCATTCACGTATTTATGTTCCTGTGCAAGACGCGGCGGTGATTTTCCAGTGTCTAGCTGGGCCATCTTCAGTTCTTGTAGTGCTTGTCCATCCTTCAGACACCCCAGAAAGGCTCAAAGGTTGGGAAGACAGCAGTCGACGTTGGATTGCAGCAAAAAACAAAAAAAGTGCAGATTAACATAAATCAAGGTGGAAAATACTGATCCTAGCATATTAAAACCGTGAGGATTAAAGCAACTGTAACGCACCTGGATGCCTCCATGCCAGGCTTCGACAGCGTTGTTCGTGCGCGCCATATCTTGCTGCACGGCATCATGCACGGACCATATGCTTAATGGGAACATGGCTGTCTAAACTCCATTGCGCCTCGGCGACCTACGTAGGTGTCTTCGAAATACATGGCCAGATCGGTGTCCTCAATAGACAGAACCTCGAGAAGCTCGTCAGAGGCATCTGGAACCTCGGCTGGTGGCAGGAAAGCCAATGCGGGTAACATTCGAATCTAGAAAAGATAATACTTATTAGCATATACGTTGATGGAATATTGTATGTACTTAGCATGCACCCTTGTTAATATGGGATTATATGCCTTTTTAAACCTTCTTTTGGAAGCGACACCACTGGTTGTTTATGCACTCATTTATGCTATACGATAATAACCCAAATATGCAGATGAACGAACTGTACTGAACAGATAAAATAAGTAATGAGAACGCGTAAAAGAGCTAATAAACGAAAGAAAAATTCGGTGTTCAAACTTTCTTCTGGTAATCGGGCTCGGTAACACTATGAATTTGTAAAAATATGCTACGGTTTATGACGTGCCAAAAAAGGGAAGCATTTTTCTGGGAGGTTTTATGACATGGTAAGCCGAATAAAGTATTAAAGTATCAATATGATTACAGCTTAGTTTCATGCTTAGAGAATAAGACGTAATTACCTGAGCAGCAAAAACTTCGACTTGGCGGTAGCGTACTTGCAGGCCCAACTTGCACAGCTTCTGGTACACCGATTGGCATAGAGTAAAGAAATATCCTTGAACCCTCGCTTGAGAGAAATGCCTGCGACTCGCTGCGATCACGGTCGCCCGGAAGTCGCAGTAGATTACCCCCACTTCCACACTTGACGTGAAACCGGAGAGCACCGAAAAAATCTGAAAACAAAATGAAAGTGGTGTTATAGTTTGCAATATGCGAAAACTCGAACCATGCAATAAGCACAATGAGGTTTACCGCCGGTAGCTTTAATCCTCCTTGTTCGTAAGCAAAGCGTACATAAGCGGGATCACAGCACAATGGTACAGCCCATGCACCGTGTACACCTGGTAAAATAGCGATGTCGTCACCTTGAAAGTCACGTCCCTGAACCATATGCCCTCCTAGTAGAAAGGCGCTCAAAAGTTTTCTGTGTGCCGAAAACCACAAGACTGTCCTTTTCTCCAGAACCGCTGTCATAAGCAAGAAGGGATGGTCGTGTGGCCCCGACACCTGGAAAGTATACATACATATTGCTCTAAATTGATGAACTGGGTAGTTCAATAGGAATTCATGGCACAAAGACTCGAATTACCTTGTACTCGTCTGGTAGAATTATGCCGTCTCGCGGTGTTGGGAGTACGTATGGACTTTGGCGTGCTTGTGTTTGCTTTCGAATGATACGTTTCAGCATGCTTGTCGAAGGCATCCGATGTGGTGGGTCGCTTCCATTTTCTACAGTGAAATAGCGCACAAGAAAGCAGTTTAGAAACTACACTGCCACTTCCCGAAATAAAAAAAATATACCTCACCTGCTTTTCTCTTCTTGCTGTAACGACCTTTCAGTTTGTTGGTCTCAGCTGGATCCCCAGCACGAGTGTGAGTACCAGTTACGGCCACTACAACGCTAATAGACCCGGCAGTAGTTATATTTGCCTTGCATATGGTACAATCCCGACATACCCAGTAAATACCAGCAGCCAATATTCTGCTAACCCTATAGAAAAACCCCTCGTAAAGTAGCAACGGAGCCCCACACTGAGATTTTGTTTACTTCCATACTATCCGCGCGCTTAGCGAAGGTGTGAAATTTGTAGAGGGTGCAGCTTTTTTACAAAGTGAGCTAACGGGCCAGTTCTCCTCTAGGCAGAAATGGTTAAAATCCGGGCTTGAAGTTGTTTTGTTAGACAAAACATGATTAGTCTAAGCATGTCAATCCAGATTCTAAAGAAGCGCAGGTCGTGCTTAGTTTATTACACGCGGGTACTGGACCCTGTCTTTTTGTGTAAACAGGGGAAAAAAAAGAAGAAACGTTTGCTACACGAGGACACTGGGACCTAGTCTATTTCTGTAAACAAGGTCAAACATGTTCTCTCTGATACATGGTCAACCTTGAAACCTGTGTTCCGGTGACGAATCGCCCCCCCCCCCCCCCCCCCCCCCCTTGACAAGTGTTCTATTGACAAAAGGACCTCGTACGAGAAGGCCGGTGTGACCAGTTTTCCTGTGACGAGTTTTCCGGTGACGAGTGGGTCAGTTCCCAAATTTTAGCTGTGTCTGGAGCTTTGTGTTTGTATTTCTGGCCTGCTCCTTCCAACGTCCCAGGGTTACAATGTTTGTTCTCAGACAGCGTTCTTTCATAAGTATTTTTATCGACTTCATTTGGGTGGATGTTTCTCCTGCAAATTATTCCGGCTCATGGCGCGTATATGGCAGATTAGCATAAAAAAACAAGCTCTAAAAATGACCCAGTGGTACGCGTTAGGTGCTTCAAAACCAGTAGCGCAATTTTTTTATAGCAGCTGTCACCTTCTACTGACGACCCAGAGATAAATATAGTCAATAAATTATAGGTTCAGCTGAAACGAAACATTTCTTGTCGAGGAAAATGGTGTGCTCCGCTTACATTTCTGCCGTAGCCCGGCATGAGCGTCAGCATAAGACCTGAAACAAGTCACCCGTCGTCAAAAAAAAAAAAAAAAAAAATGTTTGAGCAGACGCGGTTATTTTAGAACGGCGAAAAGTATTTCAGTTATAAATTCAAAAGTTATCGCCGCTGTAGGTCCGGATTGACATGGAACTGCTGCAGCATAAACATGCCGTATCCACATTTATTTCGTTTGACAGCCTGGGTTGCGCACACTGTTTCGGCGTTTAGTTTATGCTTCTCCCTGTTATTTGCACAACAAATGACACTGCTATGCTATACGGTTAATTCCCTTCTCATGTATTACAGAGCACACGAAACAGGCAATTACATTCGCAAAACAGCCCTCTATATTACCGGAAATGCATATGGCCCTTCGCGGCACACGTGCTTCGCGGCCGTTTTTTCATTTTGCATCTACACGACGGAGATTTGCTTGCAAATTTCCCGCGGAGAATCGCATAAATTATTAGAATATTAGGTCCAGTGTTCCGCGTGACGCGCTTCCTGCATTTGTGGCGCTGCCGAGGTCGCCCACGGAGAGGTTGTCGGCGACTGACAGAAGCGGCGTCGAAGATCTTCAAGGTATGCGTGATTTACCCTTCTGCGGCACCGCTCTTTTGAGCTAATATAAATATATAACATTATCATGTGATATTATCTCCGTTAGCCCCGTCTCACACAGTAAGGTGCAAGATGGCGACCAACAATCAAGCTGTGGATGCCGCACTCCCCGATGAGGCATTTCAGGTCCTTTTTCTGGCGGTTGAAGAGCACGACTGCTTGTGGACGATTTATTGCGAGGGATATAAGAACGTCTGCAACAACGGCTGTATCTGGAAAGAGATCTGCAATTACAATAATAATCCCTGGAGAAAGTAAACAAGGAGACAAAGGACACACACAAATCTCCGAACACAGCTAGGTGACTGGTGCGCGAATGAAAAAAACTCCGCCAGCGGAGCGCTCTACCGATCTACCGACTGAGCTAGCAAACACGCGTTAGACCTTAGTAGAGCAAACAGGTTTTAACAGCTGCCACCAGTTTAATACCAACAAAGGTGAACGAACTGCATCTTAACGATGTGATGTGAATGCAATTATCGGCAAACGCGTGAAGACAATATTCTTGGTGCCCTGAGCACACGTACAGTCAGCACGAAATAAACCCCGAACGCCGGAACGCGTGGCCATCGATACAGGCTGCTCCACCTGGAGGGCCCCTGAAAACTAATGAAAATGCACCTGGGTGCGAGGGTGCGGGTCCTACTAAGATGAGTTCGACCCTCGCGCGGCGCGTCTGGGAGTTCCGCGTTTCTCCGGTGGCGCGCTGTAAGCGCCGTCACATGCGATACAAAAAGTACTGTCACTCGCTTTGTGTATCGGAATCCCAGCGATATCTCTTCAGCGCTGTCATTCATTATCGCTTTGTGTATCGAAAGGGCGAAATGAAAATTGAAACATTTCGTGCACGGAAGACCCGTAGTGCTTGATGACATGTCACCGGAACCACACTTCGATGAACAACGTGCCACGCGCGGTTTCTGAGAAATAGGGAAACGTCATAAACGCGAAATAAAATTCGTTTGTTCGCACGACCATACTCTTTATGAAAAAAAAAAACAAAAGCGGCAACAGACTGACGCGGATGCCTCGGTGCTTATGAGCAATGCGCATGTTTTCGTGCGAGGTTATCAGTCGAATCTCAAAAAGCGAGGAATTGCTTGCTGACGCTCTCTTTGGCGACCACCGATATGCCGGGCGTATCATTTCCGGAACGGAATAAATTCATCACCCTGTCTGAGCAGGGCTTATCGCAAAGAGCTATAGCCAGGTTAAGCGGCCGCCCGGTGCCGACCGGGCGACAGTGGGGCGACAGTGCGTCGACAGAAAAGCACCCCGAGAGACGGAGCTTACAGCGCGCCGCCGGCGAAACGCGGAAGTCCCAGACGCCCCGCGCCTCTGGTATCAACAACCACGCGTTCCGACGTTCGGGTTTGATTTCGTGCTGACTGTACCTAGTCAAAACCAAGCTGAAACGCTCGTTCTCGCATGAGTATTACGGCTGTCGCTCGCTAAATACGCAATACCTTTTCTTTTATTTAAAATGTATCGGACGTGCACAACGGCAATATTTTATTGCTTTGAGGCTGCGTCATCGTCCGTAGCAGCCCGCAATTGCTCGAGCCGTCAGTGTGCGAGCGCTAGTTTTGGTAGTATTTGTCTTAACTTCGTAGCCCACCGCGCGAGTGTACGGAGCCGCTCGCTCCCGTACGGTGGCCTTGCTATCGTCGGCGTTTGTTTTTATCGAGGTTCGAGCGACGCAGGAGTAAAGTTAACCCCTAATTTTTAAAATCCTTGCAGTCGTACGAGAGCGAGCCGGCTACGTCCACGTTCGCGTGGACTAGAAACCTTTGACAAAGGTTAAATCCTTGAATGGGTGTAAATAGTAAACACTTATAACGTGAATACATGTTACTAGTTCACAAGCTAATTTCCTCGGGAGTTACCCGTTCATCTTGACGGTGCTACCTTTTCGTCGTGGCTGAACGTAAATTGCAGTCAATCATCAGTCCCATTACGAGTGCATGCGTGTGGTGCAGCGAAGTCGAGTTTTCTGTCGACTGATCTCTGCGATTATTATCCGTCTATACTCAGTGTCACTAGTTGGGTGCAGTACAGGCGAAAGCAACGCCATGCGGGGGGAGAAAGGGCAAGCACTAGAAAGGCTGGGGAGGGGGAGAGAAACCACCCCTCCTCTCTAACGTTCCTAGTGCTCTCCCTTTCTCCCCTCGATCTCCACTGCCCTCCTCTTTCGTCCAGCAATTCCTAGTCCTCGCCCTTTCTCTCGTCGCCTGGCGTTGCCTTCGCCTGCAATGCATACACTGCACACAACTAGAGACAGGGAGTATATTCACGCTATCAAGCCCATTGACATCTCAAGACATGTCATAACATTTCCGGCTTACCATACCAATTTGATCTTTTAGAGCGCAGCTCTTAGGGGCCCCTTTCCGGCTTGAGCCCTAAATCTAGCGGAAAAAATTCCCCGCTAGATGTAGCGGAGAAATTTCCCCGCTAAATCTAGCGGAAACATTTCTCCGCTAAATCTAGCAGAAAAATCTAGCGGGAAAAATTCCCCGCTAAATCTAGCGGAAAAATTTCCCCGCTAATTCTAGCGGAAAATATTCCCCGCTAAATCTAGCGGAAAAACTTCCCCGCTAAATCTAGCAGAAAAATTTTCCCGCTAAATCTAGCGGAAAAATTTCCCTGCTAGATTTAGCGGAAAAATTTCCCCGCTTAATCTAGCGGAAAAATTTTCCCCGCTAGATTTAGCAGAAAAAATTCCCCGCTAAATCTAGCGGAAAAATTTCCCCACTAAATCTAGCGGGAAAACTTCCCCGCAAGATTTAGCGGAAAAAATTCCGCGCTGTCTAGCGGAAAAATTTTCCCGTTAAACCTAGCGGAAAAATTTCCCTGCTAAATCAAGCGGAAAAAATTCCCCGCTAAATCTAGCGGAAAAAGTTTTCTGGGGGGTCACGTGACCCCCAAGGTCACATGACCCCCCCCCCCCCCCTACCGCCCCGAGAACAGGCAACCCTTAGTACCCTTCCCTCCTCCTCCTCAAGAGCTGCGCTCCAATTCGGTGTTACAGGGAGTTGTAAACGGCTTTCATTTTTTTCTCTCTAGAACATAAAGACATAAAAATGGCTGTACAAGGACGAGAGAAAACGAAATAAACCTTCGTCAAAAGTGAAGATTCTGCCCCCAGTTATGTGGTAAAATATACGTTTTTGGGGGCGCTTTTACTTATTGCTAAGTAGTGCTCACCACCACACTCTTAGAAAAAAAAGTATGGATAGTCCTCACTAAGGAGAGGAACGGTCTCGTAACTTATGTTCCTTTAGTAAGGGAGAAACCTTCGTCCCTAAAGCCGGGGAGAAAATAGTTCCTCCGTCGCCTGCATCTCATTATGGCGGCCCTGAATCGAGCAAATCGAGCTCAGTAAGGCTTAACGAGGACGCTACGTCTCTTGGACGGGACGAGAGGAGCAGCAAATAAAAGCGTAACACGAGCTTTCCGCGAACTGTGTTTATTTCCGAAGCCAGTTTCCCCGCAGGTACAGAAACTTGTGTTTCGAGAGCAGTTACTCAGTGTTCTCGTCGCCAGCACTGCGATGTTAAACGGAGACAACCGATACCCAGGTACTTCGCGCACTTCACGTCTTACCTTTGCTGTTCCTCGAGCCACAATTCTTTCACCTACCGCACATCACGGAGAAATGGCAAACCAATCTGCGAAACCAAAAGCCGCTCTCAAAAGAACAAACTCGAAGTTGCTGTTTACCGCATAGCGCGAAAGAAGGTTAAATCGCTTGCCACCGATGGCAGGGTCAAGCAGAGTAATTGCAAGCAGCTAGTCTAGGTGGCGGTAGGTACCGGCCAATTCATGTTCTACAAAAAATATTTTTTATTTCCC